TTCTCTAACACTTAAAGTGAAAACATTAACGTATGTTCTTTAAACTGTTACCTGAACCAGTTAAAGAACTACTGATTCGCCATGAAGGATTGTTTTGAAAACGATTTTAAATTTAATGTCGCTTTCTACTTCTAGTTGCCAGCCCTAACTTTCTAACTTCGTTTTAAAGGCCGTTTGTTTGTACTCTTTAATTTTGGCCGGCGTTTTTCGAAAGCATTGCCAACTGCCGCCGTCAAAGTTGACTTTGAACACTTTTACGTTTCGCTGATTTTTCAAGAGTTGCATTTTTTTTTTTTTTTTTGCTACCCCGGATAGCATACGAGTTGCCCGAGCGCCGGGTTGAGAGTCCTGTGTGTGATTCTTGCCCACATTTGACTACGTTGCCAGCTCTTCGCTCCGTTGTCGTCGTCACTCATTAGAAAAACGTTACCAAAGTGGTAAAAAATTGCAGTACGTGTAGCAAAGGGGGTTACTCACAGAAAAAAGTGCATGTAAAGTTTGCACCAAAGTAGCAGAAAAAAAGTTAAAAAAAAAGGGAGAAAATAAAAAAGTAAACTGAGAAAAAGTTTATTACAAACTTTGGAGCGAAACACGCGCCAAAGAAAGAGAACTAAGTAAAAGTTTAATATTTGATTTAAAAGTTGATAAAATTTACTTTAGTCCACACTCAAACTAGACGCTCGGCGTGTTATTTGTTTTTATTGAATTTATTTGAATGTGTCTTGCACTGAATTTATGCACGGGCTCCACTAAGGGGTTGCTTTGCTTGTGTCTCAGCTAGAGCGTTGATTTTTCATTTCGCCGTGCAAATATGAAAAACAAACTGAAAACGAAACGCAACAATGGGCGAGCAGCAGCATAGAGCAAAGACAAAAAAAAGTGCACCATGAAAATGGGAAAATTTTCCAAATGCCTTTGTTTGTTTGCGCTGAAATGGAAAACGCGGCCAACAGCAGCAGCAGCAGAATCACTCTGCATTGTTATGAGCCTGGCTATGATAGAGAGCATACTAATTTGGAGATGAAGCCTGCAAAAACAGAAGGCATACGGTAACATAAAGCCTGAATGTGAAGTTCAAACTGAGCTGTTGACTTCCAAGCAAAGATGAATGTGAACGAGATACGAGAAATATGGAAATTGAAATATTAAATTGGAAAGCCTACAACAACATCAACCAACGCTTTAACCCATAAGCCTCCTATTCTGAACTTAACTTGAACTAGTGAACTGTTAAAGTTCTGAATCAGTCCAAATAGTTCACGGTTCGAACTTGCCTTTAGGCTGTGTTCATACAACAGGGATTTGTTATCAACGAATCTAATAAAGAGTTCGGGCCTTGGTTTTTCAATTTTACAAATACAACAATTAGTTAAAAAAGAAGTCGACTATTAAAAAAACGAGTATTTTTCTCCTATCGCTTATGAGTCATTGGGTCCAACAAACTTAGACACTTCAAAGTGTCAAATGTGATTTTAAAAATGGTTGCTTTTATGTAGATATCATCATATCAGTTGAATTGCCTTCCAAATATATAGAAACTCTAATGTAGAGCATCTATTTGGTCGTTATGATAAATTTTAACCAATTTTCACACCGTATTTGCAGCTGATATTTCGCTGGCCAACAAAAAACCCCGTAGATATTTGTAAATATTCATAGAGCCTCGGGAATTATATTTGCCACACACACACACTCACTCGCACACTGAGCCACACACACACACCACACGCTGTTATAGAGCGATGAAATTTGAACAAAAACATTTCGTATGCTACCGACTAATTTTGGCTGCAAAATTCCTACACAGCCATTGCCAAATTGAGTTTGCGCTCGGAGTGGCTGCCCGTACACCAGGCCCCTTGCCGCCCGCTCGCTAAAATGCAGTGCAGTGCAGCTAACTCAATTTGGCGCCCATGTCACATACGTCAACGCGGGCCACGCCCACAGTTGGAAGCACTGCCAATTTGTCAGGTTTTGCTGCAGCACGTGCCACATCGCACGTTTAGCTTAGCTTATCATTTTCTCAAAGCGCGACTCTTTCCCGCTCGCTCCAACTTTTCCCCTCACTCTCTATCTCCCCTTTCTTTCTTGCTGCTTGGCTATTTAATATGCAAAACGTCAGTTTGCCGAAAAAAAAAAAAAAACTGACAAAGTTGAAATAAATTTTTATTTCATGGACTCTGTTTGTGTTCCTAAATCGGCAATGAACTTGCCGCAGAGCGAAAACGAAAAACCCCCGAAAAAAAACATCTAGAACAAATAAGAGTGCTCTGGTACACGACGGGGCAGATACCCTGTAAACAACTGCTTAACATATATTCTGCATTAATTATGTCCATATTATTATATTATAATATATTCCAAATGTATTCTTAAACACCTTTTTTTACTGTTCGATATTTTTAAACATTTCAGCGTTCATAAATTATAGTCCTTAGTATAAAATTATAACAAATTTTGAATAAATAAAAAAAAATAAATATATAATAAACCTCAGGCTCCTATATTCCTCAAGACATGTTAGGCAAATGAAACTTGAAATCGATATAAATCAAACTTGGGAAAATAAAGAGTTATCAAAGAAAATGGCTTCTTAAGAGTTCAAGATTAAGGCACTTATACAGACGGGAATAGCTGAACTGCCTTGATCAGCTGAGCGTAATGCTGCCTGCCTCCGCCCAACTAACATATACCCTCTTGTATACATTTTCAATAGCTACAAGGTATAAAAATGTGCCAAGGCAGCAACAGCGAAAGCCGCAGCCGCAGACTCCGCCTTTGTTTGTGCTCCTTCTAACTAGGCTCGAGGCGCACCGAAAGACACCAGAGAGAATCAAAATATATATATAATTATCTATATACATATATAGTCTACTTCTGTGCGTCGCTTATTTCAGTGCTTGAAACGCCGCTCACGTAGCAGACGAAAAAAACGCAACGCAATTGCAGACAAGCAAAGAGAAAATAAAGAAAAGCCAAAAAAAATGCGCTTAGCGTTAATTTAAAAACGTTGCAGAGGCAGCGGACAAAGTTTTTAATTTTAATTTCATAAATGTAATGAAGTGCAGCTGAGCTCAAATCCAAATCCAAATCGAATCAGAGAAGCAGGTGGCGAATGCTCAGCGCGGCGGAAATCATTTACAGACAGAGATTCGGTCTAACTGAATTTCCCCGACCTGTGCATATGGTTTGTCATACGCCCCGTGGTACAAACGTGCAAAAGGCAAGCCAGGGCCCAAAAAAAAAATAAATAAAAGGGCGTGTGCTATGCCTGGGTTGGTGCTAGTGCTGTCGCTCTAGCTTCCTTTCCGTCAAATTTGGCAGGCTGCAGAATTTTGACCATTTTAGAAAAAAAAGTAAATAGTTTTCTTTATTCCACAACATTTCAATTTAAACAACAATTTCTAAATGTAAAAATGCAAATTGGACTTGAACTTTATCAAAATATATAACCTAATAACTGTTAACTATTCGACGTTATTCAATACTATTATTAAACTTGTAATGCCTTTAAAATATATATATGCATGAAACATATTTAAAAATGGAAATAAATTAAAAAATAAATAAAATTAAAATCAACTTTTCAAAATTTGTTTTACACTTTTTTATTTTCAATATATTTTCTAATTTTACCTCAGAAGCTTGGAAAATGTAGCTCTAGTTAAAACGTGCCAAAAATATATTTAAGAATAAAAATAAAAATAAAATTGAAATAAAATACAACAAAATAGCTTTAAAAAAGAAAATACTAAAATTAAAAAATTAAATTAAATTAAGATTGAAGGCAACTATTTACAAAAATTTCGTTTTCTTCTTTTTATTTTCAAATATATTTTGTAATTTTTCCCCGCAAGAACTGGATTTTGATTTACATCTTAAAAGTGCACAGCACTAGTCTGGGCAGACAGTCAGTCAGTCAGTTAAGCAGTTAGTCAGCTCGAGTTGACGAATGCACGAAAACCACGTGATGTCACACACACAACGAAATACGGCGCTGCTTTTCACACAGACACACACACACACATTTATAAATATATATATAAAAATACTTTCACGTTTGAATCGCATTTACATAGATCCGCCTGAAAAACAATTAACGCATTTCCCCGCAAAAAGGAGTGACTCATGAGCTGCTGACTGAAAATTCAAGCGCTCGAATTTCCCACGTGCGCGAATGTGGTTGAAGCCCACAAAAGGCCATGGGGTTGAAGGTGTGTTCGGGGCCAAAGTGCAGGGGTTGACGGGGCTTTAAGTCAAAGTTTAAGGCAGTGGCAATTGCCCAACGGAAAGAAAACGAGCTGGGATTGTGACGAGCCAAAAGGTTTGGGCGCAGTTAATGATATGCGAGAACGTTAATGAAGTCAGCAAATGATATCATTCGAATGATATGTGTTATACTGAATGACAATCAAAATTGAAATATATTATGCCCAGATCTATATTCTTATGCCAAACATATTTACAGATTTGACAAGCATGATTATAGCATTAACATAATAAAATAGGTAAATGCTTTTTTTAGCGTTTGAAATTTCTGCCACAATTGTGAAAAATTGGCTAAAAATGTTTTTTAAAAAACTTTTCTTTAGTTTTTATCCAAAAAGCTTTGAAAATATTTTCAAAAAACATAGCGAAAATTCTTCAACACGTTTTTTGAAAACTTATTTCTCGAGTTAAGTCAGTTTTTAACTTTTTAGAATAATAAATATAAGAATAATACTATATATATAAGACTGATAGTTGAAAATGGCTTTAATAAACCTTTTTAAGTTGTTACCTAGGGCTTTTAAATTATTCATACCGATTTTTGGTAACTACTTTGATATAAAATAAGGAAAAAACACATTTCGCGAGTTAAGTCTAGTTAAGCATTTAAGTTAAGCAGAAATTTAAGTATATCCATATTAACTCATTTCCTCAGAAATAATCTTCCATTCAAAACCTCTCCCCACACTTTACTTGACATTTGATATTTTAAAATTAGTTTTCTCACTTACCATTTGCTGTTGATTCTTTGGTTTCTTGACTAGATCGGGAACTTTAAAGTTGGTAACTGCCTCGATGACCTCAGCGAGGAGAAGGCCATCGCGACAGTCGGCCGAAAGATCTGTGACCTTTCGCTTCGACTTGGCGCGCTCCAAATAATAGTTGGCCCAGTCCGTGTAGATCTGGAACAAATAAAAGTAGTTAGTTTTCCTTTATATTTGCATTTTTTAAAGATTAAATGACATTTAAATGGCCATTGACTGCAGTAATTAAGAATTTGTGGACACTTTCCGACAAGTGCTCATGCTGCACAAGTTGCAGCCACTGTGCAACTCCCTTTGGCTGGGCTATCAGGAAATCATTAGCAGCAAAAATCTCTCGACGGCGCCAGACAACATATGCACAAAATATTTGCAAGCCTGCAGTTTGTTCGGCAAACAAATTAAGCTCCAGCCATTTAGTGGCCAAAATATCCTTCAAAGGGAAAGTCGTTAAGAAAATCTGTGCGACGATGCGCTGTGTGTGAGTGTGTGTGTGTGTAAGTGAGTGTGTGTGTCAGTCAGTTTTTATCGTATTATTATTACGACAAGACTTTTGTGATTTGAACTGAGTGTGGAACGTGTCAGAAAGGATATGTTGTATGCTGTCTGAGAATAGGCAGGACATGAAATTGGTATATTCAAACAATTGCATTTCTCAAAATTTTTTGTATACCCTGCAGGCATTGTCGAAAAAGGGTATATTGAAGTCGTAGTGCAGAAGTACTTTTTCTTTCGAATACTTCCTGTTTTCACAAAATATAATATATAATATATGTAACTCAGTGTCACGATCGGAAAATAAACATAGTTTTTTAAGAATAAGTTAACCAATGTGTGCTACAGGGTATATGCTAGTCGGCCACTCAAAATATTTCTAAATAGCTCTGAATATAGTTTTAAAGTAAAATTAACTGAATTTATTATTGCAATATTTTGGTTATTTTTTAATTCGTTAACTTTTGGTCTGCAATTTTTATATCTCCGCCAAAGCTTAAAGTTAGATTTATGTACAATAGTTTTCTATTTTGTATCATGTTTTTAATTCCCTTGGAAGTCCTAATGCTATTTGGGTATATACATTTTGTCCATTATTTAATATGTAGCAGCAACATTTATTTAATTATGATTGTTGCATCTTCTTGGTCTTCCACAAAGTAGGAAAGTTCTGCTGTCTGGACTTGCTTTTCGGGTTGTCGCACTGCTGCTGCGTAGAGCTTTGCCGTTTGTACACATCGTTAGCCACATCCTTGCGTAGTTTTTATTATAGCTCATCCTGCTAATTCTCTAGCAAAGCCATTTTCCATCTTCCATTTCCCATTTGCCAGCTTTCCTTCGCATATGCATGCGACACATTTTATGTGCGCTTTACTTAGCAATAAAAATAGCTGGCATTGTATTTTTGCCATACAGACGGAACTGTTTGTCTATCTCTTTTTTTTTGTCTATCGGTCTGTTGCTTTTTCTGTCTCTCTATTTTGTGCCCGAGTTACGAGTGAGCCTTACAGTTGTTATAAAAGTGGGGGGAGGGATATACTTAACAATGGCCTAGCCTAGACTTTGAGCTTATGCAATTTTTTTTTGCAGTTGCGTCTGTCTATTGCTACTACGCCGGGAGGGTTTTAGGCTCAGGCTTGGACTTTGGCTTTGGATTTGGCTTTGACTTGGACAAAATAAAGTGAAAACTTGCCGCTGGAAAAAAACTGAGCAAATGCAATGGCAACTGCAATGGCAATGGCAACTGTAGCTGTCACTGTCAGTGGCAATGGTCCTGGATTTACACAGAACAACTGGCTAAAAACCCGGCTAAGCCAATGCCACAAATATGCTGCCTGGGGTCTAACCGAATGGGGCACCCACAACAAACAGCAAAGGAATCGACTGGCTGTGGTCCAAGTTCTGGTCCAGCTTTGTTTTGCCTTTTGCCTTGACTGTAACCAAACAACAATAAACAGTAGAGTTGTCTAGCTTTATAAAGAGCAGCTGCACAGGCACACACATATGTGTGTGTGTGTGGGGCAAATATGTCAGGATCTGCCCTCCTCTCTCTATCTCGTTGTCTCTCTTGCCTCCTCGATTTCACACACACATTTCTTAGGGCCAAATGGCTGTTAACTGCAGCATGCCAAAGACAAAATGTAACTAAAATTCAGTTAGTGCTGTAAAGTGTAAAATGTAGAGTGTGTAATAGTGTTAAACAATTTTCATTGACTAATCAATTTTACGGCCATCAATTTTCTCGCTTCTTTTTCAGCTTTGTCATACAAACCTTTGCGTAGTCGCGCGTCAATATGCCATTGATATTGTCGCAGGAGCCCTGGTAACTAACGCAGCGACCCAACATCCTCTGGCAGCAAATTGTCAATTAAATGCAATTAGCAAAAAATTGTATGAATAACTTTTAAATTTTTTGTTATGCCTTTGTAATAGTTTTTAATTGATTAACATTGTTTTTTAATTTGCATTACTTTTTTGTTGTGTTTTTTTATATTTAAATATATATTTATGCGTTGTAGAGTTCACGTAATAAATAAATATGAAACATATGAGCACACATTTCAATAAGAACTTTTTGTAAAGTGTAAAATCGTAATTACAAATTTATTATATTATTATTCATTTTATTATTATGAGCTTCGAGCAATGACTAATGCCCTTTATATTGGAGTTCACTTTTAAATATCAAATTGATGTGCTTTAAAATCCTTTTTATTAATTTTTAATATATTTGGCAATTTAAGATTTCTATAAAAATTTTGTATCAAGTATTTATTTACAAATTCATTTTAATCATTTTTTATATATTCGGCAAATTAAAACTTTGATAAAAATATCGAATCCAGAATTTTATTTTTCTTATATGTAATAAATAATATTTAATTTAAATTTTTATAAGGTTTTTTTTTTATCAAGATATTTCTGGTAAGATATTTTAATATTATTTTAATAATTTAAATATTTATATTATTATTAAATAAATTAAGAATTTAGGGACACCATAAAAACGTCTAGTAATCTATTCTATTTATACTAACTGCTTCTGTCACTTACAGAAACCGCCATTATATAAAAAATGCTGGCACTTCTTTCTTCCCTTTATGCTTTTTTCCACACACTTATCACATATTATACACCTTTTTTGTCATATTTATGAGACCCCGGATACTTTTTAAGCCCGTATCTACAGCTACATAAATATAAAATTACAGCTTTACGCGGCAGCGAGTATGCAACATTTTCGCACTTATTTTTTTGCTAGCACCATTAAAATGTCAATTATGATAAAGTTTTATTGAAACACCGCAACACATTACGGCTTATCAGCGGGGCCAGGCGGAACCAGGCGGGACAGTCCAGCCCCCCAAAAAGTATGCAATAATAATAATAAACATTAAGCGGAAGACAGCAGGCGACGGCGTTACTTTTACCCTTTTCAACAGCAGACACTTCTGGCCGGAACAGACCCGTCCCGTCGGCCCATTTCGTGTTGTGTTCGAGGCGTTGAAAGTGACACGCCCACACTGGGGCAAACTAATTGAAAATGAAAGTGCCTTCAAGAGCGGCCCGGCCAAAACAACAACAGGTTGACACAGCCCCGTCGTGACCAGCCCAACCCCCCAGCCCAACCCCCCCGCTATATGCATAATTGGCGTCGACACCCTTGTCAGCGACAGCGGGCTACAGATTTTGGTACGTAAACAAAATTTGTTGACCTGATAAATTTTAGTTTTGTATATGCCCAAACAGATCCCACCCCACTCATGTTGCTACACACTCAAAAGGGGTTGACAAATCGTGCTGGAAATCAATTTGGTTGTCTAGGAAAAGAAAAGGGTCAATTGCCATTTGGTAAATGAAAAAGCGCTTGCCAAACAAAACTTGCGCCCTGGCCAAATGCCACGCCCAGTGGTAAGAGACCGCCCAACGTTTTGCTCTTATCTTGCCTGTCTGAAGGCATTTGCCTGCGAGTACTTTTCTGAAATGTCAGTGAAATGTCAAAATAAAAGTAATGCTGATAAAAATTTTATAGCTTGTCAGAAATGCTAACAAAAAATGCCGCTGGGGGGTTGTTTCTCCTCTTTTTGTGTCTGTTGTGCTCTGTACCTTATCAAATGTCGCGACTTGGGTACTTTAGTTTATTGGAATTTGCATGCTATATATATATATACAACTCCATATATATGTATCTACACACATTCACAGGTGGCAAAGAGATGGGAGTTCTTAACACAACAAAATTTATGTTTAATCGAACGGCAGCCATGTTGTCTGACAGCAGTAAAAGTAAAAATTACAAAAAATTGAAAGAAAGGTCGATGTGTGTTTTATCTCTTGGTTTCCAGTTACTTAAAGCAGCTTTACAGCTTAGGAGCTTTAGACACTTTGTGCCTTAAAACGCATTCAGGTGTGTTTAATAACACAAGGCAACAGAGTTTCGGTAGCTATCAATCAATAGCAGCAACAAAACCTTCAATTTAATTCAATTTAGAAAATATAAAAGTTCCAGAATAAACTAGTTTGTATTATTGGCTAAAGTTTCTTTATATATTCAATTCACAAGGAAATATAAATTATTAAAGCCATTTATTAATCACATTAAATTATTCTGTGTAATATAGATAACATTTATCACATTTATCAATACACAAAATGTAACATTTAAAAATAGTTCAACATTAATTAATAAATGAAACGCATTAAAAATTATGGAAATTAATATTCCAATAATTAATTTTTATATTGGATCGATAACGCATGCATAAGACTATCGAAATATTGTCAAGCGAAGGCTTTTACAAAATATTTTAAATATTATGCTTTTGAAAATGTTATTCATATTGTTCACACATTTATGAAAGTTAGCAGCACAGTGTAATCGATAGGCTTAGCAGAAAACCATTGACAACCTGTTGGGCCTGAGCTAAAAATTGCTTTGATAATCAACACAAAGTGCAAATCCACCCTCAGCTATTGCTAGACCCATTCTCCTGGCAAGCTCATTAAATTTGATTGCATTTACGACTTTTATCGCATTTGACCAAACGGCACAGCGCAAAAGCGTCTCTCAATTCGATTTGCGCCAAGTCAAGGAGGGAGAAGCAAAATCTCAGGCGATTGACATTTGAAAGTAATGTCAAAACAAT